GAGTTGCTTATGTCCTCTTACAGACATTTCTTACATATATAAGTATATATATTTTTTCTTTTTAACTATCAACAGACTCATATTATATAGACTGTTCTGTATCTTGCCTTTATTACTTAATAATAAACACACTAAAGTCATCTTTCTGTAGGAGCACATGCAGTTTCCTATGTCAATATTTCCTATGTCAATGAGCATCACTTCTGTCAGTTTGGGACAAGAAATTAGGTGTCATCCTTAATACCCTCCTTTTTCATTCCCTCAATCCAGTCCACATCAATTCCTGTTGCTTTTATCTCTTCATTATCTCCCAATTTACTTCATTTCTTTTCATCTCCACAGTCACCACCCCAGTTCAGCCTACCATTATATCTGTCTGCTGGATTACCATAATAATCTTTCACTAGCCTCTTCTATCCACTCTGGGCTACCTCCAAACCACACTGCAGCCAGAGTCCCAGCAGCTGGGGAAGATGAAAAGGTTCTGGGAGATGGATGGTAATGATGACAGCACAACGTGAATGTTCTTAATATCACTGTACTGTACACACTGAAATGGTAAAATTTATGTTATGTATACTTTACCACAATAAAATAAACAAATAAATAATGAAAAACACCATACATTTAATGGCTTCCCATTACCCTTAAGTCCAAAATCTTTAACATGGCCTAGAATATTCTGTCCTACTTCTATCCAAGTTTATCACATATAACTTCCTACAATATGGCCTTCCTTTAGCTCCTTGGTATCATTCTTTCCTCCCACCATCAAGGTCTCTGTATAGACACATCCCATAATTCTAAAATGCTCTGCCTACCTTTTTACTTACGTCATCCCTACTCAATCTTTAGGTATCAGGACAAACTTTATTTTCTCAGAGAAAGCTTTCCTGACCCTCTAGTCCAGGTCATGTTTTGTTACATGCTCTTACAGAGCCAGATTCCCTTTTTTAAAAGCCTTTATCTCAGTTTGTAATCATACATTATTAATGCAAATATCTGATTAAAATCTGTCTCCCCCAAAGGAGACTATAAACTCCACAAGAGCAAGAACTATGTCTTCTTTGCTTACCACTTAGCATATGTCTGGCACATAGCAGGTGTTCAAAGGAATTTACTGAATATATGAATAAAGATCTACCTTATTATTTTTAACAGAAGCAAAGAAGTCCACTTAACAAATGCCATAATTTCTTTATCCAATCCTAGAATGGTGGACATTTGTGTCCAGATATTTTTTTATTACAAACAATGCTAGGGCAACCACTTAATGCCAGTATATTTATCTATTAATGTACTTAAATGCAATTCTTAAATGCAAAATAAAATTGCTGGTCAAATGAAAAGTGCATTAAAATTTTTTAACTGATATTTACAAATTGCCCTCCTAAGAGGTTGTAACTTACACTCTGAGTAACCAACAGTGTATAAGAATGCTCATTTCCATATACTTAATACTCAACTTCTATAACCAAAATCTGCCAACTTCTTTGCTCAGGGGAGGTAGTAGAGAACAGTGTTAGTTTTTATGTAAGAGAGGTATTTGTCTCTTTTCACATTTTAATCATACTAAACATTAAAATATTTATGTTTTTTATTCCTATAGAAGAAGTTGTAGCAAATGAGTTAAGTGAACAAAGCTAAGTGATTAGAAAAATGCTGTTATTGACAGACTATGGAAAAATTTGTGTATTTTTAAAACCATGTATTTATTTAACCTGTAGATTCTATAAATCACTTTTTCTGTCCTATAGATTTTTTGTTTGTTTCTGAAGCCTTAGTCCATGTTTTAATCAATGGTACTGTGGCAGTAAAAAGGAGGAGAAAATCACAGTAAGAATATTCACACAGAAGAACATAACAAAAAATTGAGAAAATTTTTTTTAACATTTTATATTAATTTTTTCAAAATATTAACATTTTGATCTAGTTCCTTCTACTTTTTGCCCCCACACTAATACATCTCACAGTGTGCTGACATAATTATGCCTTTTTTCACTAAACAGTATAGCATGTACATTTTCCCCACGTCCTTAAATATGACCTTTCTTCACCCAAGTTTTAAGTAGTAGTAACAGAAAGCACCTGTACAGCATACCCTTCTCTAGATCTTCACTCTGTTCTTAATCTTTGAGCTTGCATTTCTGGTTCTGATAAATGAAGGCATTAAACGGCCTCTATGTGATTAAAAATTACAAGATTAAAGAGAAAATTCCTTTTGATTTAACTCTTCTAAGATTTTCTAGAATACACCAGGCCTATCTTTAAGAAAGCAGACTACCATTACCTTCACCCTGCCACCCAGTAAGCATATCCCATAGAAATTAATTTGATTCTTGATAATTTAGGATTTTTAGACATTTCAGGATTAGTATTATCATCAGAAGTGACCTTATTTGTAGTGATTCCAGACTGTATACCTTGTCACGTATTTAAATTTTGGATTACCATAAAATAAAATACCATAAAATTACCATAAAATAAATTACCATACTAACGAAAAAACTAATGTCTTGAAGATTTTGGTTTAGGGAACCAATGAATAAACGTAATGAATAAGTGTCTCTTTACAGAGCAAATCTCAAAATCTAAAACCAACATCTCCAGTTTTCTGTTCAGTAGCACTGCTCATTCTTTCCCTGAAGGATTTAAGTACCTCCACCAGCCTAAAAGATCTCAACTTGAGAAAATGATGTGACAAAGCTATACAAAGGACATACCTCTTTAAATATAAAGAGAAAAATCACTAATTATAATCTATTTTATTAATTCTACCATTGGAGCAAAATATGAAGGGATTAATTTTTGGAGGGTTCTCTTTTAACTGTCCTAATTAGTGGGACTTTACATACAACAGACCATCAATTCTTTCCCACTTCTTTTCCAATTCTTTTCATGTTTCTTTATAGAAACATGAGCTTTTACCTTAACTGGGAAGCTACATTTTCCAGTACGAACCCCTTCTTCATCCGTCTGCCACTGATGTGGACGACTGGCCTCTGGAACATAAACATCTTTCTTTCTCCTAAAACTTTGCCGTAGTTTGTTCATTTTAATTTTTACAACCTGCAGACACAGTAAAAGAAATATAAAGAAGAAGTTATTACTGTCTCCTGTATTTAAACATTCAATTACCATACTAAAAAACTAATGTCCCAAAGTAAAGGTTTTGGTTTAGGGGAAAGGAGCAATTAGTACACTTCCTCTTAGAGTAATCCTAAGCTCAAACAAATCATTCCACTTTTTGAAGACCAGTATAATACTAGTTTTATAAAACAACAATAACCTCTTAGGATTTGAAGAGATGTTATTCTGAAAACTTTCAAGCACTTTAATTGTAATAATCCAATGAGTATCCCTACTGATCTACCTCTCAAATCCATTCTAACTCCTGAAAATAAAAATCTGTACATATTTCTCCCAAATTATAGAATGCTAACAATTTCTAAAAACTTCCATATGTATTAGGGCAAAGTCATTCTGAAACACTGAAATTTGGGGACCTTTCTGGCTTACTATTAGAAGACATTAAGAAAAGGAGGGACTACCATCACTTTTTTTTAAAAGATGTTTTGCAAACAGGAATACAATTAAGTTTTCTTTAAACATACTTAAAGAGAGCGCTCTACTAGGATTAAATTATTCTAAAGAAGAAATTTCATGCAAGCAATATGACATCAGAATGTATGTTCATATCTATAATCATTACAGATATGAAAGTAATCTAACAGTTTTCAATGACAAAAGTCCAAGTCTCATCACGAACTCTGTAAATTAAAAAGTTATTAAACTATAGTCAGTTTTTTGTTTTGTAACTGGAAAAGGCACTTCTCTAATGCTTTCCAAGGTGCAGCAGAAATCACAGAACTACAGGGAAGGAAGACCTAACTGATAACAACAGAACATTCAAAAACCAATGAATAAACATAATGACTAAGTGTCCTTTTACAGAGCAAATCTCAAAATCTAAAACCAATACCTCTAGTTTTTTGTTAAGTAGCACTGCTCATTCTTTCACTAAAGGATTTAAGCACCTCAACCAGTCTTAACTTGAGATCTTGAGAAAATGATGTGACAAAGCTATATAAAGGAAACATCCTCTCTGTCAGGAGTGTTAAATAGCAAGGGATTGAATATTAATTCCCACATGACACCAATGAAAGACCTGAAAATCAGTTTGTATTCTGAGGAAAAGCATTTTTTTATTTTAAAATGTGTAATGCCACAGCAGAACTATTATCAAATTAGCTAATTTACAGACAAGTCAATCTTACCACACAGCTTCTTAAAAGGCAAAAATTCTGACAGACAAATGGCAATGTAAAAAAAATCTATGGATTTTTAAAAAGTGAATTTATGATCTCGCAATTCAAAACTGATTTACAGAGTATATGAAGTAGATATTAAGTAATCAAAGGACTGGACAAAAGGTAGTCCATTCCTGTGTCCGTAAGTAGATCACTCATCCTAAATGAAGTAAGCTAAATGAGAGTCTACCTTAATCTAACAGACTTCCAAAAAGAATTCCATAACCTTCCTTGATAATACATCCTGTTATACTATTTCATATTACATTTAAAAAATATACACCTGAAACTAATAAAATATATATATATATATATATATATACACATAAACATTTTGTACACCTGAAACTAATAAAAAAATATACACAAACACGAGAACCTAAAAAGCACCTATCTCCCTGCTCATGTTGGTACTCTAAGAATATTGAGGCCAAAAGCCTGTATGATTCCTTTCTTCTTAATTTCTTTCTCTGAACAACAAAAAAAAACCCCATTAGCCAAGCCAGACACCTGACCATCATTCCTGCATTCACCCTTTCTCTGACCGATAACTCTACTGGTTTTACCTCCTTAGTGTATCTTGAATTCATTTCTCCACCACCACCACATTAGTTTTACTCTTTTTGGACATTTTTGCTTAAATTATTGCAAAAGCCTATTATTTCATGGTCTCTTTGCTTCCAAGAGAGGTTCATTTCACTCTGTTCTCCTGACTCCTGCCAGGGTGCTTTCTGAAACACAAATGTGACCACGCAATTACTCTGCTTAAAATCCTTCAACTGCTTCACATCACTTTCAAGATCAAGTCCAAACTCCTAGGCATGGCAAACACAGTCCTTTTCATCTGGCTTCACTCACCAGCCCCCATTCACACGCTAAGCTCCAGCCATGCTAAGCTACTTATTACAGTTGTCTAACAACAAGCCCTCTTTCAGAGCCTTGGTAGATGTTCCTTCCTCTGCCTAGAAAGACCTTTCCCTGTTTGCCTCTGGTTAAAGTCTATTCATCTTTAAAGAGTCAGTTCAGGAGTGTTCAGAAAAGCTAGCTAGCTCTAGCATTTTTTTCTGACAAGTCCCAACCTGGCCTGGGTTAGGTCCTTCCATTTCATTATCATTCCCATTAACACCTTCTGCATACTTCTTGTACTTCTATTACTGTATTCATCAAACCTTTCAGCAATTTTCTGTTTCCCTAATGGTAGGCTATATTTTATTTGTTTAAAGAGTAACTCTGCCTCCTAACACACTGCTTATCATATATATGGCATACTATAAATTTGAATGCGAGATATAATAGATCCCCATCGTACTAGATGATATTTACTAGGTGGGACCAATGTATACACATAACACCAGAGAAATCATCAGTGTTGGAAAATGTAATAGTAGACCAACCTCTTATTGACAAAGGAACCACGCTGACAATTTTCCTTAAAGAAAGACATCCAACCTCTATATAACATACTCTAGTAAAATTTATCTCCTCTTTGGGCAGCTATTTATTGTTGTACCATTCTACTGACCAAGAAGAATAGAAGTGTCAACCAATTTGGGGTCTAAATATCTTGTCATTTTCAGTATTAAAATGGTTTGCTATCAGCATTTCTACAGAGTATTACACATCAGTGATTCTCAAACTATGCTTTGAGCAGCCCTTTGTTACTCCGTGTAGGAGACCCAGGGGGCATTGGCTGTTTGGAGAGAAAGTGCAGGAGGTAAGAAGACACAACTCTAAGGAGGCGCTTCAGTCCCTGTTACAGCTTCAAACAGATAAGCTCCACTTTATCTGATTTACAGGTTGGAGCCGCAAATTATTTACCATGGTGTGCTGGGTGACAAGATCCAACTGTTAAATTTTTAGCAAGTTTGCAAGCCTTTATTAAAAATAAATTATATAAACATAAGTTATTCTAAAACAAAGGTAATAAATACTAAAAACTTATCACTTCCTAATTACGTTACGATGTTTTACTATTATGTATGCTCCCGTGGTTATTTATGATTTTTGTATCTGTATGGTGGAAATGCTATACGATGCGGGGCTAGTGTACATCTCTTCCCAATGTCATGTTCAGTGACTTCACGGTTGTAGCTTGAAATTGGCCATGGTGGAAGTATTTATACTACAGAATTTGGCAAAAACTACCGATCACAGCTTGACTTATTGCTTTGTGATTGACTAGCTCTAGGAAACTGATAGAGCAAATGTTAATAATGCAGATTAAACTTAAAAGTGTGTGGTGTCTGTAACCATTACATTATGAATAGCACAAAAAATTGAGGAAATATTCTTCCCGTATTTGAAAACTATTATCCAGTTCAGCTAAGAAGTCTTTCAGGTCATTTCTCAATGAGTGAAATTTTGACACACATCTTCATTGTTTCACTTTAATCTCACTCATTAACACAAACAAAAATATCAATCATCACTCATGTTAGAACTACATTCGGTGAACCAGTTGTGAAACACCAGCACACCAGCACTGACTATATGGTATGTTAGAAGATGCTATGCAGAAAAAGATGAACAGGATTAAGAGGGGGATTAGATGTGCTACAGGCAAGGATAAAGTTTTGAATTAAAGTAACATTGGAGCAAAATAAAGGAGGTAATAAAAATGAGCCACATAAGCAGGATGAGGATTCCAGAAAAAGAAAATAATCAACGCAAAGCTCCTGAGGGGCTAGCTTTCCTGCAGTGTCTGACAACAGAAAGGAGGTCAGTGTGTCCCATTCAAAATGAAGACAAGTGAGTAGGAGAGACAAGATCAGATGGGTTACAGAGGGCAAAGTCACACAGGGCCTCGTAGGCCAAATGTTTTGATTTTTCCTCTGAGAGAAATGGGGAGTCAGACACTGGAGGGTTCTAAATGGAAGAATTTATATTTTACGTTTGACTGATGGATTAAGAATGGATTAAATAGAACAAAAATGGAAGCAAGGAAACAATTAGGAGTTAACTATAATAATCCAGCAAATGAGGGTGAACTGGATCCAGATGATTAAGCTCCTGACTCTTGTTTCCATATCAGCTCTAGAAAATTCACTATTCATTGATATAATATCTGTTGAAATCAGGCTATTTAAATGCAGAAAAGGTGTATTAGATTCCACAATTAATGCTGGAATTAAAGACAGTTTTCTAAAACAAAGCAATAGCTCAACTGTTTCAAATATGAAGTCTTATCTATAATATCAAAAAAATCAGCTGAATTGTCATACTTTTCATGGTAATTAACCTTCTGCTTAAACAGATTTCTTGAACACTGCCTAAGTATATAAGTGTACGAAGGATTACACGTATGGTAAGTAATTCGCCCTAACCAGGAAAGAACAAAAAAAGAAGAAGAAATAATAAATATTAGGCATCTGCTGTGTGGATAGTACTATACTAAGAGTTTCATGTGCAGGTTTACAGACTGTTAAGAAATAACTGTCCTTAACCACAGGAAGCCCGCATTAAAGGGGAGAGACAGACTAATTGCAGCATCAGCTCCTACATGCTCCCTATAAAACATCATATAGGAAGAATGGCAAAATAAAACTTCAAAAAAGGCAAAGATTTCTAAATGAATTCTCTGTAAAAAAGACTTAAGTGATAAGCAAAGTTTCATCCAATTTATTATACTCACCAACTAAGGAGATTAAATTTCTGAAAGAATCTTCTATAGCCAGTTTAGTCATGTAAGGTGTGCTACTCCATGTCTTTAAACAAACAAAAATTCTCTAATAGAGAATGAGTAACAATAATTATGGGGCC